ATCAGCCATGATTGAATGGCGGAGCAGACTTGATGGGCCGAATGGCCTAATTTCTGCTCCTATGTCTTATGGTCTTATCCAGAAGGTCCTGATAAATGGTCAAAAAGCATCAGCTCCCCCTCCCCACTCAGAACCCCCCTTCCCAGCCTACAATCAGGACCCAAAATCCACCACTTTGGACTACCCCTGCTCCTCACTCCAACCCCCTGCTCTCCTTAGCTGTGTAGCCATAGAATTCCTATAAGTGTGGAATCAGACCATTCAGCCCATCAATCCTCTGAAGAGCATCCCACCTAGACCCACACCCTATCCCTGTAACCCTGTATGGTTAACCCACCTAACCTGCACACCCCCCTGGATACTATGGGGCAATTTAGCATGGCCAAACCACCCTAATTTGCATATTTTTGGACTGTTGGAGGAAACCAGAGCACACCCATGCAGACTCAGGGAGAGCATGCAAACTCCACACAGACAGTCACCCAAGGGTAGAATTGAACCCAGGTCCCTGGTGCTGTGAGGCAGTAGTGCTAACCACTCAGCCATACGAAGCACAACATAGTATTGCCTGAAGGGTGGACTCAAACCTTTTACCCATACATTCCTCCCTTGTGTGACAGACACAAGACAGGGAACTGACCCAGACTTTAATTAACCAAACCCGAACTTATTTAACTCTTTCGGTACCAATACTCAATATAAAACATACATTTACTTCTTGCTTCATCTAACTTCAACTTTAACTCATTTCATTTCAATTCACTTTACCCAAATGTAGCTTTATTCACATTTAACTCCAACCCTAACTCAAACTCTCTGGCTTGAAACACATTCTACACTGATTCGAGTGAAGTGGCAAACTTTGCACTCAGTGTAGACCATGCCTCGTGAGTCTTCGTCTCTCCTGAAGATCATCTCAGGGCACGTGCTCCTCAAATGTTGATCTCGAAGACTCACTTCTGCAAAGTCCTCAGTGCTGCTAAATTTTAGTACAAAATGTGCTCGTTTCCAGAACCTTCTCTGGCACTCAGCCAATGAATTGACCAAACGCTGATCACAATGTTTGATCCCCTCCAATGGAGTTTGCTGGTAAACAAATCCCAAATGTTTGTACCGAGTCCTAAACAGTCACATTCCATATGTGTCAACCATAGACTTCCCTTATTTTGGTCAACATGTGATACTGAAGGTCCCAGCATGTCCTGGCAGCAGTTTTAACTGAGGTCAGAGTTTAAATTAGCTTGACCAAAATTCACAGCACGCTCGATTGTAGCTCTTAACCTGTCTCCCAGCCATTACTCCTGTTGGTCACCTGACCACAGTAAGCTTCTCCGCAGCCCAGGCCTACGGCCAGTCAATCAGGCTCACGGTGGGTGAATTTCTGAAGCAAAAGTTGCCTCAAGGAACACTGGTCTTAGAGAGAGAGACAGGAAACCCACATTTCAAGGCTTCCTCTCCTTGAAGTAACACCACTTCCCCTCACTCCAACCCCGATTGTTCAACCCAGAAGGAGCCTGAAGGCCAGAGGTGTCGTGGGCCTTGTTAACGGTCACCTCGCACTTTTGCCAGTTTCGGTAAAAGGACACAGACACGAAAGACTCGGTCTCTGTTTCCCTGTCTCTGTCTCTGTCTCTCTCTCTCTGTCTCTCTGTCTTTCTCTCTCTAGCTCTCTCTCTCTGTCTCTCTGTCTCTCTCTCTCTCTGTCTCTCTCTGTCTCTCTGCCTCTCTCTCTCTCTCTTTGTCTCTCTCCTCAGAGGCTGAACAAGGTGTGCTGCCATTTCCAGCATCTGCATGATTTTGCTGAAGCCCTTCACCAGGTTTGGTCAATGTTCAGTCAGAAACGCAGGGCCGATTTGCGTATAGCAAGTCCCTGACAAAACAGCAAGGTCCTAAAGACTGGATACCTTAGGGACTTGGGTTGGGACCTGAATGGGACATGATTGAATGGGACAATGGGGTCTGAGATGGCGGGCTAGGCCATAATATGGCATCACCAAGGGACCATTCTTCTGCCCTATTAGACGTTGCCCTGAGAGGGGGATGACTAGGAGGGAAGAAGAGTAGACGGACTAAATAGGGCGAAGGGCGTTTTCCTCTAAGCTGTGGACCTCTAAAAGAGAAAGCGGACGTCTTCTCCAATCTCCAGGCTGTCAAGGCTGGGCCATTAAATATATTCAAGGCTGAGACTTTTAATCAGTAAGGGAATCGAGGAGAAAGGCAGGAAAGCGGAGTTGAGGATTATCAATCAGCCCTGAATCAGACTCGATGGGCTGAATGGCCTGTGTCTGCTCCCACGTCTTATGGCATTGGCTGCAACTGGTACATCAGAGAGGTGGGCCCGAAGCGGAGGCGGGCCCGATGCGGAGGCGGGCCCGATGCGGAGGCGGGTCCGATGCGGAGGCGGGCCCGATGCGGAGGCGGGTCCGATGCGGAGGCGGGCCCGATGCGGAGGCGGGCCGGAAGCGGAGGCGGGCTGGAAGCGGACTCAGGGCAGCGGAGTCAAGTTTGGGCCAGAGCAGTACCCAGCAACATCAGCGGTTGTCTGTGTTGGCAAGGTCCATCTAGCAATCAAAGTGGCGAGGGCATCGTTGAAGGTGAGATGATGCCAAAGAGTTTCATTCCAGCAGTGGTGACATGACGGAGGGGGCACGTGCCGGATCACCAGGCCCATGGCCCATGATGGAGCACTGAACAGGAAGGCCTAAAAAGTTGGACACTTCCTTTATTTCTCCATTTTTCTGCCTTTCTGTTGTATGTTTCGATTTATTTTTCTGTGTTTTAAGATGGCGACAGAGAGTGGCGATACTATGCAACACTTTTCACTGAATTTTGTAACAAGATACAACTGCCGATCAATATTGTCCACTTTATCCCATGTAGTCTCGTTGGTAGCCTTTATTATTTTTCTCTCAAAAGCGCGGTCAGTTTCCCAGTTTGCATTTGGAGGGTCGGGGAGATACAGTGCAGGAGCGAGATCGAGTGGAGATTTCTCACGGGTCTGACAAGAATCAATGATAACCATCACAATTGTAGCCATCTCATTGTCTCGAAGTGAGTCACTGGCACCACCTGAGAGTTACATCTACAGTTTCTCAGCTGCACTGTCCCATCTGGCTTGTTCAGTTTGATTCTAGAGGCTGATTTTGTACTTTCACGAATCCCATAAACTCCCAACTCATGGGCGTCCTCTTCAGATACTGAGAATTGGATTCAAGGCCTCAGCATTTTTATTGAGCTGGGCTGCCTATGTCGTGAGTTCACTACCTTTGGGGTCAGCTTCGGATAATTAACGCTCCATCTGAATTCTTCAAGCAAAGAAACAGAAATGTGGCTCTACAAAACTCAAATGTTATCAAAAAAGCAAAACTGTCTGAGGCTTTATGTCTCGCACTTGTCAGGACTGGATGCAAGAATGCCAAATTTCAAAGAGAACAATAATTTATACCACGTAAGAAAAGGGTTGCTGATTGGCTAGCTAGTCAGTGTTGGCTAAGGCATTGCTATGGGGCTTTGGTTTATCAGTCAGGCCCGTTCAGTTCTGTTTTCTAGTTTTCCATTTTCATCTATTCAAGTGGCTCAGTGGTTAGCGCTGCTGCCTCACGGTGCCAGGGACCTGGGTTTGATTCCAGCCTTGGGCGACAGCTTGTGTGAAGTTTGTATATTCTCCCCCTGTCTGTGTGGGTTTCCTCCCACAGCCCAACAATATATAGATCGGATGGATTAGCCATGCTAAATTGGGTGGGTTAGGAAATGCAGGGGTACAGGGAAAAGATAAGAGGGTGGGTCTAGGTGGCATGCTCTTCAGAGGGTCAGTGTGGACTTGATGCGTTGCACAGTCTGCCTCTACACTGTAGCGCTTCTATGATGACACAAACAAAAAGAATATGTCCAGGCATTGTATCAAATGAATGAATGTGGATTGAGGGGGAGAAATATTTCCCTGGTGCATTCTATTATGCACCAGACCAAACCCCCTTAAAATATATTAAGAATATAGCCTAGACCCTAATGCTTTCTTATTTTAAAGGCAAGTGCCAGACATTGTGTTCCCGAAACAATGCAATTGGTCGAACTACCAGATTTGAAGCAAAACACACTTTAATCAGACCCTATAGTTAAAATACAACAAAAAAGAAGGAATTGTAGTAAGTTAACTCTATTGGAAAACTTAACAGGATAATAGATTATTTAATGACCAAATAGTATCTGTTCCAATATAGTAACATTCGATAAACACACCCTTAGCAAAGGCAAATTCAGTAAAATAGATTGTCTCACATGCAATTCTAGCAGCAGGAAGGGAACCCCAGCATTTAGCTGTAACAGAGAGAGAAATAACAGCTTCCACATCCTGCTTCAAGACCCCAGCAACTGCTGAAAGCTAAAACTAAAAGCCCTTGTTCTGTGGGAGCTTGACTACCACCCATTCAGGCTGCTTCTGTCGTTCCAACTTTAAAAAAAAACCCAAGGCCTCACAAGCTGTTTATTGGATTCAAATAGACAGCTCGACACCTCCGTCTTAAAACCTCTCTTCAAAGAAAAACAACAGGACATAAGAGACCTCTTAAAGCCATGGTATTGTCACAATTTCCCATGGTAATGCCTTGACCAATCAAACATGGTGACCATGGCGACAACCATCCTTTGCTGTTAAAAAAAACCCACCCTAGCAAATGTGGCCAACCCTTAACTGTCGTCTACAACAGCATAGCAAGCCACTCCGTTTGAGGGCAATTGGCAAACTTGACAGTAATACCCCCAATCCCAAGAGAGAAGTCAGAAAATGAAATGGAGCTTGCCTTTTACGGTGGTGTTAAATGAGTGTATGAGGGAGTGAGGGGTGGAAAGGAAAGGGGGGCGCTGGATGAGGTAAATTGGGAGGAGGCTGATGTACAGCAAAGAATGGCAGCGGAGATCATTGGGGGTTTGAATGGCCTGTTACTGTGCTGCAGGACCATTTTGGCCAACCCCCACTTGACCCAATCTTTCTGTCTCTCCAGATACTGAAGGGTGCCTGCGCAGTAGCAGCGAATCAGTTAACCTAACACTCGTGATGCACAGTTGGATCATCCCATCGTCGGAATTCGCTCACAAGCTCCTGGTACTATATCCTTTTTCACCCGAAGGCTCCCACTGGCAAGACTGCGAAGATTGACCATGGTGTTAAGAATTCCATTGGAGATTTGGAGGAATTCCTTCGCTTGGAGGGAGGGGAGGGTTGGAGGGGTGAATCTTTGGAATTCTTTACCCCAGAGGGCCTTGCAGGCTCAGTCTTTGTGCATATTCAAGGCCATGGCTGTTAGATTTTGAGATACTAAAGATATGAAGGGATATGGAGGAAAATGGTGCTGAGGTATGATCTGAAAGTGAGTTCGCTGAATGGCCTACCGTTGCTCCTATTTCCAATATATTAACAGTGGGTGGCATATTTGTAAGAGAGATAGTAGGAACTGCAGATGCTAGAAAATCTG